TATTTGCCTGTGGTGTTGAATCTTGTGTGCTTCGAGAGATATTTAGGGAACAATAAGATCGAAATTGGGCTTTGCTGTAAATCCGTACCTTGATCAGGTAAGGATGGACTTCATTTCCTGCATTGGTGTCTTATTTTGTGAGTCCTATTGATCTTGTTTTGCGTGTTTTAGGGGAAGCGTTGTCGTTACCAATCATCCCGTTGTCTTTTCATACTTGCATGGTAACATTTGTATTATTCCAATTGTTATACTGTCCATGGTTATGGGGTGTGTTGGATACAGCTGCAGCACCCTCCGCAAGCGTAGCGTACTTGAGTGTTCCCTGTGACTTTGAAGCCGCGGTAGTACTGTGGCTGACAGTAGCCTTGGTAACAGCCATTCGATGAAAGATGGTGACAAACAAGTCATCGGGTGGAATCTACAAGAGGAGGATAGAAAATTAAAAAACATATTTCCACTTCTAGCTGTAGAAGTGGACCTCTCCTCGGCACTGCAACATCCCTCCTTCATTCTCCAGCGCTACTGACAAGTCAATCAGAGAGTTGGACAAGTGTATCGCCAGCCCATCGGTTTCAACTTTACCAAAACAAATGCTAGGCATAGCACATCCACGAACAGTTGGACCAGTTTCAGGAGAAACCATGACCTTTACCTCACTTCCAGCGGTTTAAGAGAATCAAATTTGAAAGCCACAGAAGTAGGATTCTAGGGGACGCGGATATGCATTAAGATGTGGATTTCATTCCGAATTGACTGGGGTGTCTTTCAAAAGTCCCAGGCTTGCGGAATTTGCGAATGAAAATCCGATGTGCGCAACTTCAGTGACTTCAGGTCACACCGAGAGCGTGGAATAATGACCGCGACACAAGACACGATTGGCGATTAAATTCTAGTGCCTGAATCGAACATCCGGAGGGCACTTCGGTGTAGAACATTAGGAAGTAACAGGATCCCACCATTGTCGTTGTCAAGAAGTAGAGGGGGCATATGTGATCTTAACCCATCCAACAGCAGTCAAATTCACTCAATTAGTTATGCAGAGACGCCAAAGATATGTCACCTGTCTGGAGGTTTCAAGCGGACCTTCACGCGCCTAGTTTTGACATACGCACAATGAAGGAAATGGACTTTACTGGCGAAAACCCAATCCCAAGGGCCCTGTTAACAGCTACGTGCGAAAACGGATCCTGGGAGAGAGTCGGATGCACCAACCAAGTTGTCGTAGAAATAAGGGAAGGCAGTCAGAGGTCAGAGGACGCCCAGTTTGCACAGACGGACGAGACAACGGTATATCCAATTAAGGCATCGATTGCAACCGTGCCATTGGTGGCTGCAATCTCAGACCACGTGGCTAATTCCCATACAGTCTAGAACATCGGGCTCTCGGCCACTTCCTCCCGATTGGCTAATATCACGTCCATCAGTAATGAGGCCAAGTCCTAAACCACTGGCGCCCCTATAGATGGCTGCAGCGTACTTCCCCTCGGTACGCATACGCGTGAAGGCATTAAGACGTCTATCGACACCTTCGCCTCCTGCTTATCCGTACTGGGAACCCGACAAGGCCCAGACACATGCGCGCACCCAAACACCAGTTTATAGCAGCTCCTGGGAGGTACTTTGCTTCAATTTCTGAAGTCGATCAAATCACGCCTCAGCGGCAGCAACTTAGGCCCACTACACGACGCACGAGGATAACAGAACACAACAAGCCGGATAGCGAACAACTGCGTCGTGATTAGCCACGTGAGCAGCCAATCTCACAGAGCAGTGTCGGTGAGGCGAGCGCCGGCGAGTAACCCACCAACGGAAGCAATGACAGCCGTGTGGATGTCGCTCAGTGGTGCAGACAACAATGATCTAAGCAACAGTCCCGAAAAATAAGAAAAAAAAAACGAGGATGGGAAAAGGCAACACATCAACACGAAAATGGGATAAAGGGACAGACAAGAGGTGGAAGGAAGGGGACTTACCGTGAGATAAGGCCTTAGGGAAGACTGTGGTAGGGTGGCCATAGCGGCAGCTAGGGGACGAAGACGGGCACGTAGACGCACCCGGTAGGTGGTCTTGTCATCGTATATTCAGCTTGTCTGTCACATAGGACGCTAGCGCGGTGACGGCTTCACGGGCCTCCGCGAGGGAATGAACCACCACGGCGGCGGGCAACGGTGTCTTAAGAGGGAGGTCGCGCTGGATGCGAATACTCTGCCCCAATTCCCCTGCCGCCTCCATCCACGCCACCCACGCCTCCTGCGACATGTCAATGACCCCGCTCTAGGCTGACACGCCTACCAGGTAGTGCACCGACGCCGGTGCCCCATCCGCTCCCACGGCGCCCAACTCAGCGTCACTTACTCCGTCTGTACTTTACTGCCATGTTCACAACACCGCCGATTTCGAGGTGGTAGAAAGTGGTGACTCAGTAAAAAATTGACGTCACCGACAGAAAAAGACACGCACACACACAGTCACCAAAAGGGAATTTAGAGGAGTCGATTTTAGCCTTCGGGCGCTGGTAGATAAACTCCGTGAAGAAAGGCACAAAGGGCACCATCACGAAAGTGAGTTGGAAAAAGACCTTTACGCGAGTGTGCAATGCATCGTACCACGTCTATCGTTGCCCCATTCTCCGTCAGTGCGGACGGTGCCTCGCCTTTCAGTCGGCGGTGGTTCCTGCGGATGTACCAGTTAACAAGTTGTTCGATAAAGCACACTAGTCGAGGTACCACCGTGTAGAGACGGTAGGCACGCAACTCCGTGCACACGTAGAGGAGGCGACTCTGAGTGAAGGATAGAATCCACCGGTCCATCAAGTTCCGCGACTTTGGCCACGCCACCGTACGCAGTCGAAACGTCGTGCCGTGCGCCCGCTCCCAGGGCTCAATGATCGACTGAACTGAGAAAGGAGACGAAAATGAGGGAAAATCATATTCCATATCACCGCCACTGCTGCTGTTACACCGTCAGTTGGCACATCTGACCAACTACTGGAGCGTTTGTTAGTAACCTGACCAAAGATCATAGAGGACAACTACTGATCTCCAACACTTCCAATTCTCTGGGTTGGCTTAACGAAGTCAGATATTTTGTAATCTGGGATGTTTTCTCTCAAGGGTGGATGTTCACAAAAACTCATTTAGACCCGTCTCATTATCAAACCACTCCAGTGAGAAAACAGTGAAAAGGAAGAAAGATGAGCAAACCTTCACGAGGAGGCAGACTCTGTGCACGCACCACCGGCGAATCGACAAGGTAAGGCCGCAGCAAGTCGGCCCCGTTGACAATGAGGTTTCTAAAAGGCGGTTGATTGAGGAGAGCAGTGGAAAGGACGAAGAGAGTGTAGAACCACCCACTCGTCTGGTCGACTCCCTCCACCACGAAGTCTGCCGCAAAGCCCTAATTGAAGCGCTCCGCGTTCTCGAAGGGATAGTGCATCTACCAAAAGACAACAGTCGTCCAGTCATTTACTCAGCAAAGCAGAAGGAACGACAATCATCGTATAGAGACGCACCTGCGCATATGGCATCGAACCGCAGTCAAACACCTCCCAAATATGTCGCAGCTCGCCTTTGCCCATGCGTGACGGAATCGTAATTGGATCCACACTAAACACATCGCAAGAGGAAAATAGAGCCCGCGAGGATAAGAGGGCAGAGGTAAGGAAAGAAAATGGCCGTACAACTCATTACGAAGGTCGGTGACGCGATGGCCAGATAGTCGTTCTAACTCGTCAACAGAACCGATGCAGACCACCTCCTCGAAGTCCTCTGACACCCACACAGGGATGGGTGTGCCCCAGTATCGATGGCGTGAGAAAGCCCAATTCCACGCGTCCCTGAGCCAATTGGCAAAGCGCTTCGTCTTTGTGAACTCGGGAAAGCACTACGTCGCAGCACCGTTCGCCAATAAGCGTTCCACCAGGCTCTCCACACGCACAAACCATGTCGGCACCGCCTTGTACAGCGGAAGTGCGTCCGACCTACAAAACAACCCACCTATTGCCCATCCACAATACTAAACTGGGGATTTAAGTGAGGCGAGACGGGAGAGAAGAAGCAAGAGACAGAAACGCACCGCCAGCAGAAGGGGTCTGTTGTCTGTTGTACGAGACGACCAGCGTGTTTGAGGTGCTAACAGATCGATTGCTCGGCATCCTTCACATACTGACCAGCAAATTCCTTAACCTCGGAGGTGAATAGACCACTCGCATCTACTGAACCTACTGCTGCCATCTCCTTCGTCACGATGCTCCCGAGCAGACAGACCCTAAAGTCGTCCTATACACATACGCACCGATTATCAGTTAGTGGCCACGAGAGGTACGAGAGAGAAAGCAGAGTGAGCACTCACATCACCAAAGTAGGACGCCTGATGTACTACTTCCGTTCCCGTTTCCTCGCTTACGTAGGCGTCACCAACCACACGAAAGGCGCCAAGCAACCCTCCCCTTCATTCTGCAAAACAACAAGAAAGCAACGAATACAAAGCCATCGCCTTGTGAAGAAAGAGAAGGAGAACGGAGAAGGGTCAGACTCACTTCTCTACAATCTCCTAGTCGTCCGCCTTTTTATAGAACCACTGCAGACGTCACTCCATGAGGATGAATGCCCTATCCCTACTTTCATCTGTAGGATGAAAGCACAAAGATGTTAAAATTCGGGGTTAGAAATGGGAAAGAGGAGAAAAGTTATCGACCCTTGATTCTGACGTAATCTTTTTCCGGATTAACGCAACGCCAGGTCGCTAGGCCACGCAAGCAGTCCAGCGCAGACGGTGGATACGCCGTTGTCAAAATCATCGACAGAAAATGACATACCGATGGCAGGATCCTGAACGTCTTCGTAGTTCAGACCTGCCTCAAAGTTTGACAAGGGGGTGGAACCGGCGGTGGAGAAGGGCATCACACTGACACCGCAGTACACAAGACTCTTCCCATACAACTGTTTGAAGACGCACCACACGGACTCCATGAAGGTGGTGTACATGGTACGATAATCATCATCAAAGTCGATCCACCTGACGATGCGTTGGACGACGCTGCGCCATTGCAAGGAGTATCGCATCACAATCTCACGGCACTTGGCACTGTAAGCTACCACACCATCGCCTCGACGTCCCGTGGTCCACTGATATTTTTCAACTTATCCACCTCGTATTCCACGGGCAGACCGTGACAGTCCCAACCAAAGTAGAGTTCTACGTGGTAGCCTCCGCTATACAAAAACGCGTAACCACATCCTTTATTGTACCCGCCAAAATGTGCCCACATTGCCGCAGTCCGGTCGCAAACGGTGGCCCATCATAAAACGTAAACCTAAGACAGGTAAGCAAGTTCCCCTTCATCCCTTCCAAATATTACCTTGCAGTGAGCGTTTGACAAAGAGTCTGCAAAATGTCCTATACGCCTCAAATTCATTGTGAAATTGCATGACTTCCTCCTCTTCCTCGGAGACATTCACCGACGGCGGGAGATCGTCGCCACCCTCGCCGCGCAGTTAAATGCAATGCGGGCACGGAAGCTCGGAAGCGGTGGGCTATTCAAAACCACCAACCGGAAGTCGTCGGGTGTGCATTTCTCACGTTCCAGGTTTGTTGCCAGTCTCAGGAGTTATTTTGCAGTTAGGATAAAATCATGACAAGAACGAGGTGGTATTGTGAGATCTGTGTATTACACACAACAAAGGTTGTTTCAAACACCATGATTTTGCTATAAACAAATGGTCAATAATTGCTGCCGTTAATTATGCAAATATAAAAGTTAATTCATCTTATGCAGATAAAGTCTAAGGCTTGCCTAAAAATATGTTTAGCACTGATCAAAAAACTACCACTAGTGCAAAGAAGTCTAAAAAAATCTGCTAGATAGATTGGGCTTTTGCTTTACATGGTTCTCATGCATATTTTGAGTAATTTGGTTATCAGGATAAATTTAAGGTGAAATTCGGACCTATAAAGTAAGTGCTAAAATTGCTACGGTCTCCTGTAGCAGTTTCGTATTCTGTTTGATAGTTTTGACAGACAAATCAAATTCCGAAGTTCTTGTGTTCGGCCTGTGGCGCGGCCTTTGTATCATGGTAGCAGCATCGGCAGGCTGTCTGTGTCGTAGTAAGCAGCGTGTTATTTGGCTTGCCATGACATTGGAATGGACTCGGGATACCACAACCACAGGCATCATTTTCGCTATTTGAGTTAGCAAAGGCCTAATCGCCACCTTCTTAATCAACAATTTGTGCGGTTCCCTTAATCCAGGTAAATCCTTGCATTTGATGAGGCAGAAGCGGGTGTATCTGTTTCGCGTATGCGAGTTGGCCATGAAAGGCTGAAAGATGGATTTCAAAATGGGGATCGTGCGTAAATTTGTGAATGCGGGAACAAATAGGTTGAGAGGAAGACTCGCAGGAGGTCATTTAACTCCTAGGCCCCTGGCTCTCCTCGACCCACGTGGGTTATTTAAATGCAGTCGATAGAATGATTGATGACCAGAGTGGCATTTCAGGACTCAGACAGCACCTACTTTCTTGGCCATTAAGATCTCCTATGTTCAACTCCGACTCAGTCTCTCAGTCAGTTTGGTTTTCAGGAGCCATCCCACATCCCCTCAATTTGTATTTCCCTTCTGACCAATGATTCAGGCTGTTAAGTCAACTTTGCATAAGATGGACGGTCAACTTTTTGCTTCAAAAGACGTACATGCAAATTCATAACATCTGAAAAGCGCAATTAATCGCCTTATCACGATGAGTTTAATATCAACCCAATGACCACATCAGCGCCCCACATGTGGTGCCCTTCGTGCACAGCCTAATCAGTTACAGTTGGTGCCAAACTCATACTCCCTTTCTAACAACTTTCACCTATGCTGCCTTAAGATTTCAAACTTAATTTACACATTGCTCCTCTTACTGGGCTATTTGAATTAAAATATTTCAACCCTACCTAACCAATTGCATATTGGACATTTGCCAAGTTCTTGGTCAAATTTTAACCTGAAAATGTGTTTACCTACTAATTGCATAAAAGTGAGCAACTGAAGTAAAGTAGGTCTCTTTGGGTGGACCAAGTCTTTCTACGGGCAACTCGCAATAAGGTCATTGGTGCGCGATTTGTAAGGTGACGGCTGGTGTGTGTCGTAGCCCTTTCCACCGAACAGTCATAAATTCGTACCAAGCTCCCCTTCCACGTAGGGTTAATGCCTCATCAGAAGGGTTGTTCTACTTAATGCTTGCAGTTCGAGCACTCATTTGCCCCCTTTCTTAGGTCACAGTGAGCGCTTTTGCCATCGACACCCTCTCCGATGTTTTCGACAGCGACAGCTGCCCTGAAACCTCCCACGTTTCGCCACAATCGACTTTACAAGCTCTGTCCACTTCTCCAGAGGCTCCGCCCATCCAGCCTCATTCCAAGCGAAGTTTAAAAAGACGACCCAAATAGGTACGTTCCTTCTCCCTAATCATAGTTCAGATTCAAGGGTCATGAGGATGTTGTGCGTGATGCACAGATCCCCCACTGGTGGCAGCGTCGATTTGACTTGCTTGGGCGGTTTGATGAGGGTATCCAGATGGACAGAGGTGGGAAGTTTCTCCTCGCAACTTTGATGCGTTTTCCGTCTAGAGTCATGGTACAGTGTGACGCCGGAGGAGATTGCCAGGAATCAGGTGAAGACCTGCGCGTGTGACTTAATGGTGGCCACGTATGCTGGAGCTGGAGGCAATTCTATCCAATTCACGCGTACCTGCGACTTTGGTAGGTCTTTCTCAAATCTCCACACGTCCTTTTGGTTATTGTTTGGAGCATGCGCTCCTGATTTACTTAACGCATTTGTAGAATTCACCATCCACTTAGCTCGAGTAGTCTTGTCTTAATTTGCACCAATGATTCGCGGGTCGCTTCAGATCTTGAATGGACTCGGTGAAATTCCTGAGTTTTGAACTCGTAAATCAGGTTCGCTGACAAAATTTTGGCGGTTACTGGCTTTTCTGGTCTTAATTGGAAATTTCTGATTCTCTTCCACCAGACCTTCCGACATTTGTCTCCTGGATGGTCAGTTATGTTGACCGGAGATCAGATTATCTTGGTTAAAGTTGCTAGCGATCTGGACGATAGCCTTACGGCTTATGATTTTACCACCTAAAACATGTCCAATGCTTGTGAGCGTTGCACACTTGGGAAGAAACTTGCTGAGGTTGTTGGATGGCATTATCATGTTAAGACTGGACACTCATAAGTCCCAAACGCATCGAATTTCTACAACCCCTGGAACTCGAAATACTCTTTACAAACTCGGACAACTATTCGATTGTCCTCCTTGAACCCGCTTCCCCTTTTCATAGGGGCTAGCCTTGCCTAGAGAAACTGTTGTTTTACTACTGCAAGGTACTGCTTTCTCCTCGCTACTTTTCCTTTGGAATAGATTGGGGTAGATGGATTAGGCGTGGCTGGAAGGACCGTCGAACGAATGAGTGGTTAAGTTTGTAGATGAACGAATTGTCAGCTGGGTGATTGAATGGCTTATTAGAAAAATGCCGCTCTAGTCGAAGGAAAGGCTACTTCCAGCTCTCGGGCAATTGAATTCTCTTTGTCTTATCTTTCCCTCTTCCCTCGTCCCCCTTCTTCCAGTCATCGTCATCGACAACTGTCTGGACCGTCTAACTGGCATCTTCACACCAAACGCCAGCGTCTATGCCGTCTCGTCCCGCGTCAACTGCGTCTGTGGCGATGTCACACGTATTCGCCGTGCCCTGCGTACTTACGCTCGCGTCGATACCGTCTACATGTCACCCCCATGGGGCGGTCCCTCCCCTCCCCACCCACTAAAATTCTTCGAAATTTGCATTGCAGGTAACTTTGGGCCACTGCAGAAGTTATGACTGGACGCCTTGTGCAGACTTGTTTATTATTCATGCAAAATGTGCGCGCGGCAAATTTCAGACGGTGCGGAGGGGGAGGGGCTGGGTGGAGTGGGGTGGGGATATAAAACGCATTGCGTTGATCCGGTTTTGTCTTGTTTGTAGTTTATAGACGTCTAAACAGCCTGGAGGGCTGGTGAACCAGCACGCGGTGCATACTGTCCAGTTGATTAAGTTTCCAGAACATTGTGAATACCGTGGAGGAGGCGGGGCGGTACTACATTCTCCCACTTTACTTCAGCCATGCCTCGGTAGCACCCCGCTGGAACTGGTCTCAACTCACTGTCACCTGGGTCCCTGGAATGCTGACGTCGTTTCCATCCTTCTTCGGTGAATAGCCATAGATTTAGCCCGCCCTGATGAGTGTTTCCATTGGGCGACGTCGCCGTTTTGTTAACAAGACGAGGAAATCACGGTTGTTGTTCACTCGGAGGGCTTCACCCACCGCCACCGTTAGTGGTGCCTATTGAAGGAGTGGAAGAATTGACAAGGCAGCACAAAGTAGGCTTCCAAAGCTCTAGAAAGTATCTACAGCATTGAATCTTGTGCATCCCCCCAACGACGAAAATCTCTTTATCATTTGTTATCGCAGTCCCCTGGCTGACACCTATCAACACCTTGTCGCTAAAGAAGAGCCCACACTGCCCCCGGAGATTAGAAGCAACTCCCTAGATGGGTGTTTGCTGATTCATATCGCCCGCCCGGCAATAGAAACAGTTAAGACAACTAATGAGGCCATTTAAACAAGTTTGACCATTTGTGTGCCTAGACGCAGGTGGGGGGGAGACAAGCGGGGCTCTACAATCCCTGGGCAGAAATGGATTAAAATTTCACCTGTGAACAGCAGAGTTGGGCAAAATAAACTGCCCAGTCCAGCCCATTTGGTTAAACAACTTCAACTGGCATCTAACATCACGTCCTATTCAAGAAAAAAAAGTAGATAAATAAATGCACATTTTTGCTTCCTCCTCCGCCTTCTGCTGCGCCCTGTCCGCCTTGATTTTCGCCTCCAAACAGCTGTGCGATTGCATCACCCGCGTCAAGCCAATCGATGAGGCGCGTGGAGCATTTAAAATTCTGCCAAAGATGTATGACAAGGAGGCGTTGCAACGGCCACCTGCCCCGGGCACTTGCTGTGGACGGATCGAGTCTACAAAAGGAGCTGTTCAGACTCGTGAATACATCTACAACCTGTTGGCTCAACAGACGAGCGTGGTGAACCCTCAGAAACGGCTGCCCAGGATACGACCTCGTCGAACTTCACCACCACCGCTTCCGGATGCGGTGCCAAAGGCGCCTTATAAGACCATGGGTCCACCCCCGCATCCGCATCTGGAGGTGAATGAGCTGCCACAGAAGATACCCTTCAAACCGAAGCACTGGAGAACGCCCTTCATGGACAGAGGTTGCGTAAAGGAGAAGGTGCGACTGGATAAGATCGCCTTTGAGAAATTGAAGCTAGAGAAACCAGCCGGACGAATTAAAGATGCTTGTTGTGCTGGAGTGAGGCCACCAATTCCACCCAATCAGGGTGGAGAACCCATAGCATGTCGTGAGCTGCCCCATCGAACCAACTGGATCGAGAGGAATGCAATAAGGGCAATTACGAGTAAACCGGGTTATAGAATACCAAACGCCGATCGGAGGATGATTGTGGACACCAGGAGGGGAGACAAACAGGCTCTGGTATCGAGCAAGACACACTCAGGGTTGGAGAAATTGTACGTCTATAAGCCGACTTTTGGGAGGGTTCCAAGGTACCTCAGACAACGCGCCGAGGCTATAGCAAAAACTCGAGAGGCCTACTCGCACTACTTGAACGAGAAGGACTTACAGCGGACAGATTATATGTTGACAGAGAAAGAGCGTGGAGAGCTGTTGAGCGGGCTGAAGACGGCGTGGGACAAGTACAATGCCAAGTACCTGGGTTTGTCAGCGAGTAGAAGCGGTGCCAAGCAGAAGTCCTATGGCGACTACCTGGAGAAGCAGTTGGCAAGTCTGGAACGAGACATTGAAATGATTGAGAGCCATCCCTACATCTTTGTGGACGCGGATAAGACACCTGGAGTGGGAGGATCTGTGACCAATGATATTCAGGTTTAGTAAAGTGGCTATGTCCGAGTGTTTCAGGGCACGGTGTACAGATACTCATCTAGCATCCTGTAACATATTGGCAGGGGTAAGAATAAAAGGAGATGAATTAGAAGGGGTGGTGATGATACGCTTTGGATGAATTGTTGTGGGGATGTTAGATGCGAGGCCTTTTCGCGCACCTTACGTCTTGATAGGAGGGCACAAACTACTTACTTCTGTAAGTAGTTGTCTGGACAATTTGGCATGAAGGGGGAGAGGGTGTCATTTCCAGAGAGAAAGAGAGAGAGATTATGGCCCTTCCTGCAAATCCCATTCAACTGAGGGTGGAGTGTTTATCCATCAAAATTTTGTGGCAATTTGACACCTTTTTACTGTCTGCCAAATTAAATGTGCGTGCGATTCTTTCTCTCCCCGCAGCTCATGCCTCCATTTGGCTGAGAGGCCCTCCGTCCTTGCCAGTGGCTTTCGAGCCCTTCCAAAGGGTCAAGTGAAAGCCACGCTTCTCTGAATGATGGCTTCTCTCGAAGAGGTGGGGATGTGCGCTTGGCTAAGGCGAAGGCGATGGGTGGAAGGTCGTAGTGTTGGGAGTCTTTTAAAATCAAACCAAGTCATTCGCTTGATAGGAAGTGTGTTGCACTACTTGTCATGCCATCCTGACTGCGATAGGTCTGTAGGTTCCCACGCAGGCATGACAAATTGCTTCACCTCTCCCCATCGGTGTTTCCTGGCAAGGCATCAAAGCCCACAGAAACACTAAAAGATGCACGAACTGTATAAATGTGGTGTAAATTTTGTGGTTAATTGAATTACCAGACCAAGGGTGGCATCGTCCCCCACCCTCTCTCCCCAGCAAAAGCTGATTCTGGGTGTGCGATTGCTATAAAAAGCATGAGTCAGGAAGGGTAGAAATGTCACAGTTATGGGGCGTGGTCACTAATGTAGATGGGTCTAGAGGTATGTCTTCTGTTTCACTGAGGCAATGGTAACTTAGATGTTGACCTAAGCCCAAATCAAAATGTGAGGGTGGAGGAATGACTTTTTCGGAAAGAGGAGTGAAGAGGGGGAGGAGTTCAAATCATCATCAGAACGCCCGTCCAGTAACAATATCTCAAAGCCTTTGAAAAGGTTTTTTCCTCCTAAAAAGTAAAGACGTTAACCAGTTGACGTTCCAACCAATCAGTGATCACTGCAAGTTCAACACACAACCAATGCGTGGACCTACCGGCCGGTGTCCTCAAAGCAGAAAAACCAAATTCTCCTCATTGAATGGATGCGTCCGATGTTGATGACGTTGATAGGTGTTGCCGTCCATCCAGGATTCATCCATCCACGCAGGATCCAGCCAGCCATTCTTACCGTAGCCATCCATCCTCGCCTTCCATCCACCATTCGGTACATTTGCAGAGGTCGTTCCGTGACCCTCTTCTAGTCCACCTCCTGGTCCTCTCAGTAATGGCTGCTTTAAGCGTTTTCTACATCTCTTCCCTGTCTCGTGAGGAATTCACACCCTTTAAAAGACAACCCCGAGGTCTAGAACACACCAAATATTTAAAACAAAAAAGACTGAAATTAGCACTAAAATTTGTCAAAATTATCCCCAGTGAGTGAACTTCAAAGTATCATGCAATCGAGCGTTCAGGAAGTTGTGCCATAACCGCCACCGTCAAATTGCAGGAAATAGAGGGTGTTTTTAATCACCAGAGAGAGGGAGAGTGAGACTATCCACACTTAGACTCCCCCCGAAATCTCCCATCAATCACCTGCTTGACGGCAATTTCTCACTAGAATTTATTCAAATACTACTTTGTGTAAGTAAATTTAGAAACCCCTTAAACCGATTTTGGCAATCTACTTCCCTTTCCCCCTCCCCCCCCCCAAAAAAAAACAACAGTCGTCCCTTGAAATGCGCGTGGTAGTCACCTCAAAGAAACCGAATCGGATGATTTATTTCCCGCCTGCCTTGTGCCACAGAAGGAGCACACACCACAGGAATGAGGAGGCGAGGAAGCGAGAGCGAGAGAGCGGGCGAGTGAGTGAGTGAGTGAGCGAAAGCGAGAGGAAACGAACGAGAGGGAGCAAGTGAACGGGCGAGGGAACGAACGAACGAACGCGGTCCTCACGCTTTTGACAGTTTGATTCTCGTCATAAAATTGTGTGTGCAATTTACCGCTTCACCGGCGCCACAACTAGGCTGGCAGTCTTGCAGAAGGCTTAAAATACATGCCCCGTTTTAAAGGGAAAAAAGCTTCCTGTGTCAGTGGTAATGATGATGTAGCCTTTATTATGGAGTTAAAGTAAAGCAGAAAGATGACAGATGTTAATTGAGCGAGAGCTTTTAGTGCAGCCTCCACATGGCGTGCATTGGTGCTTTAGAAAGGCGGTGCTGATTGGTAGGAAAGGATGGACACTGACCTCCTTCCGGATCTGTTTTGCGAGGCTCAATGAAGGCATGCGTGTGTTACCGCCTTGAGAGAGACACGTATTTGAGTGGCTTGACCACCTCATATGTGTCCTTCTCTGCTCCTTGGATGAATACGGAATGGATGGACAGAGGATGGAGGGTTTCTCAAAGCGGAAAGGAGTTAGATGGACAGTCAAGTGGATTCCAGTGAGATCTGCGGGACATACCTCCTTGACTGAGATGTGCCTAAATATTCTTGTTACCATGCAAATATACCGCCGCTTATTTTACTGTTCTTGATTGTCGCAGCTGTCAATTTCCGATATCTCTAATAAAGTGGCACCAGTTTATGATGGTTATCGAACGAAGCACAGAAAAAGCGCTCTGGAACGCATTGCCAAATATGGCATATTTGTACAATTTATTGTGGTAAAAAAAGGTAGAACATTAATATCAAATGGCTGCATTTGCCAATCGAAATTGCTTCAAATTCACTATTTCATTGGTCTGACGCCACACCTTTGGCTGATTGGTTTAGTACCCGACCAATGATATAAACATTCATCCCAAAATCGACCAATGGGAATGAGGGATCCTGCTGAACATGCTATCGTAAACATTCTCATTGTTACTGTTTAAATTATTCAAAATTTCGGTACCTAAATAACATCCAAAATTTTATAACGTCATTTGCACAGCATCCACGACACATTGCTCTTGACTTTGGGCCACCTAAATACCATGGGCAGCTCGTGATCGAGTACCTTACGTATTTGAGCTAAATGAACCATTGGGTCGCCACTCTTTAACAGGTCGTCGCATTCCAGATCGCTAAAAGAAAAGGAGAATAGAATATTTCTGATCAAACATGGGTGCGATGATTAAGTAAAAATGGATGCGTAGCCTGAGTCACAATTATCCCTTTTTTAGAGTGTCGGCCACCAAAGTGTTCACGGGGGTGAGAGAGAGCCACAGACTCCTGACCTGCCTCAAAAGAGCCTCCTTATAGGCATCCAAGTTGTAAGAGGGGGATCTTGGGTGATCGAACGGACCTATCGATGAGTTCCACCCACTCGAGAAGGAGTGCCTCCTCGTCTTCACGCTGGCCTCAATGCCGCGGTAAATATGACGTCTTGAAGGCGATGAG